ATACCGACTTAGTCTGACCGAACTGACAGACATGAAGAAACAGACAGAGTATCTGTTGGACAGACAACTAATCCGCCCATCCATTTCTCCCTACGGCGCACCAGTTCTCTTCACTCCAAAACCAGACGGTAGTTTACGGATGTGCATCGACTACCGCGCACTGAACAAACACAACAAAAAAAAACAACACCCCATATTGCGCATAGACGATCTTCTCGATCAACTGCATGGTGCAACAGCCTTTCGAAGCTAGACTTTCGATCGGGTTACTGGCAGATCAAAATGGCGGACAACTCGGCCCACAAAACGACGTTCCATACTAGATACGGCTCCTATGAATACTTGGTGATGCTGTTCGGACTCTGCAACGCACCAGCGACGTTCCAGGCGGAGATGAACCACATCATACGGCCCCTGCCAGACGAGTGCGTAGTGGTGTACCTGGACGACATACTCATCTACTCCAAGAATATGAAGGAGCGCGTGGAGCTTCTGCAGAAAATCGGTGAGATTTTGCGGAATACTAAATTCTGCGTCAAGCTGTCAAAGAGCGACTTCGCCCTGAAGAAGGTGCAGTTTCTTGGGCACATGGTGAGTGCGGAGGGCGTACACGTGGACCCGCGAAAGATGGAAGTCATAAAAAAGTGGAAAGTACCGGAGAACGTGAAGGAGTTGCAGCAGTTTCTAGGCTTTGCTAACTACTACAAGAAGTTCGTGCCACAGTACGCGAAGATAGTAGCACCACTGGCAAACTTACTGAAAAAGGATACGCCCTACAAATGGGATACTCCTCAACAGCAAGCCATGGAGCAGCTACAGACAGCACTGTCTACAGCGCCAGAACTCATCCTAATTGTAACAGCTTTACCAAGATTGACGCTACCGCATTACCCCTATACCTGTTCCAGGACGACAGCTACCGCCACCACCACCTGTTCTCGTACAGGATGAACCAGAGTACGAGGTGGAATGCATTCTCACTCATCGGCGCCGCGGTGGCAAGACCCTCGAGTTCCTGATACGCTGGAAGGGATACGACCCCTCTGAGGACAGTTGGGTTGCTCAGGCTGATCTGGGCAACGCACGCCGTGCTCTTAAGGACTATCTTGTCCAGCAGGGTGTATCTCATGTCACACAGCTTTAAGGGGGGGACGTGTGAGAGTACGATGGCTTATGCTGGCTTTGCTAGATTGCCTTACTTTATCACGCTATTACTAGCTTATGTTCATTTTATCTTGCATGCTTATGCTTGATTTCCTAGGTTAGGTGCATTCCTATTTGTCATTATAGTTATAGCACCGAACCAAGTTACGTGTACTGAACTCAAGCCTTTCGCCATCGAATTGCTTTCTACCGAGTTCGGGAAGGTTTTGTTCGGGACGCTTTGCGACCCTCAGAACATTCACGTAGCACGTGGGTTACCTGCATTGTGTCGAAGCTATATATACCCTCGTGTTTTACCCAGGTGAATCAATCAATTTACAACCCACTTTCCTGAGCTCGATCCTTGATCCTCACAAATTGCAGGACGTGGACCTGCACCGTGACGCGAATGACTAGCCTTCTACACCGATAACAAGGAAGAGCGATGACCGCGATGCCTCTAGTGCAAAAATTGCAGAAATTTTGAGCATTCAGCGGAGTTATGGAAATTCCGCTCCAGCCATCGCATGTCCAATCCGAGCACTTGGGCCGGCCGACAAGACGTTCAACAAGACATACGTTAAGCCCCGGGACCTCAGCTTGCACCGTGTAGTGCAAATCCAACGGTTTAGCACCAATGGCAGCAGCCGGTACAACCTGAAGGCTCGCGCAACGTCATCAGCAACATGGCAATGCGCCACAGATGGGAAACTTGTCGCCGCATACGCACACCATCACTAGAGCATATGCCGTATCCGATCCATGCGTCTGAGCAAAATAACCCCTTTACCCCAAACCACAATTACAATGATGACAACGACCAGGACTGGAACTTACCAGTCCCACTACTTGAAAGCCAGCCGCATATACCTGATCCAAGGCCAGCACCCATTGACTGGATTGTGTGGGAAAAGTTCTTCAAGTTCGACACTCCGCACATCGTCCCGCCGCGACTCGCACTTCTCGCGCGTGATGACGACAAGCAGCACAACATGTGATACCTCAATAGCTGCTGCGAGCAACATATGGTGGGCTCCAAGCGTTTCATCTCCAAAGCCATCCCCACCCCCGTGGTTACCTACATCACCATGGCAAACAACGAGTGCATGCGGGCAAACGCACAGGGGATCGTCGTCTTGAACGTGGGAGCATTACACACATCACCTTGAATGATGCGTTGACCGTGCAGAACCTGCTTTTGGTGTTGCGATTGTCAGATTGCGGTGTGGAACTGCGCAAAGACCCAAGAACGCGAGATATCGTGCTTCACTACGCGCTGCCTGAAAGTCGCACAAATACCTCGAACGCGCACGCGCCGCCAATGATGTTTACGTCTTGGATTTCGACATCCTAGACTGCAGTGGCGACACGGGCGAACTTATTGATCTCGTGCCACTTTGCTTCAATTACATTCACTGCTCTGAGTGGAAACACCGAGACGACAGACCTTGGGTGCCGCACCACCCACATGCACGTGAGACGACACTGCACGACCCCGACCCTGACGGCATCTGCGAGTATTGCCGCACGCCTAACGCTGCAACCAATGTCGCTGGCAGAGGACTTGCAGCGATCATTGAAGCTGAGCAATACACGTCACCACACCAAGGCATATCAACGCTGGAGCTCAAAGGCGCAATGAGCCACGATTTCGGTATGCCAGTCGAACTGCTTCCCGGCTCCGCGAAGGAACGCCTTCAATGAATACTTCGAGGGCGAAGGTGCGGATCCTATGATGAGCACGCGAAGGACGCCCCTACACCAAGGAAACATTTATGCAGTACTACCCCCACTGGCGCGCTCTGATGAATAAATTAAGCGTCGAAGGCGAACAAAAGCTAGCGCGCCACAAAGCCGAGGAGCTACACTGCAAGAGCATCACAAAGGCGCGTGGCACATTCGCCTTGGGGTGAATCCGCCGGAGAAGGTGCCTCCAAAAAGGGGGGTTGGGGAAGCAACGACGGATGGGGATCTACCAACGGCGGCACCTCGGGCAACACTTAAGGAACCTGGGCAACCGCATGCGACGACTGGGGCACCGCGATAGCGGATGAGGCAGCACTAGCGGCGGATGGGGAGAATCTGGCGATGGCTGGGGCGCTCCGCGCATCCAAGAAGAATAAGGGGGGGGATTCGAAGAAACCAATCTACCAGTCGTCCCTTCGGCCGCCCCCTGCCCTTGCCTGCACCACCTCCGCTCCCTGCGGACATCCTGCCAGAACGCAACCCCTAGGACACGATCGACTGGGGAACGAAACGTCGACCCCTTGTCGCACCATCTATGGCCACGATCCCGAGCCGCACGAACCTACACTCATCCCCAGCATAATCTCCATGACGAGTATCCCTCCCTCTGTCATCCCCAATAGAGAGTTTCTCGCACGTACGCTGACAAATGCGGACATTGATGATGTAAAAAAAAAAAAGGACCAGCGAAATCTACCCCCGTACCTGATGAAGATCCAGACAAAGCACACACGCGCTACTTGCGCACCTCTGGACTCCATGCATCATATGACCTGTAGCATCAGAACCTCGGACATCCATCGCGCTCAACGCTGAACAACGGCATCGCTACTGAAGTCTTCAAGTTCTCAGCCACTACGGGCTCAACGACGAAGGCTACACACTTACCTTCGTAGACGCGGGAACCCGTTGTGTCTGGGTCACGAATGTGCAGTTCTGCAGGAGGGTGTACGAAGTTTTTTGCCTCTGGTCGGTTCATGCGCAACGACAGTCAAGGAGGAAGTTACAAATTTGGTAGACTGGTGGCGCAAAAAATTTTGCAGCAAAGAGCTGCAAGATAACCTAGGCCACAAGGGAATATGCAACACATATTACTCCCCTATGCGCACCCACAACAATGAGTCGTTGAGCATACCAATCGCGCACTAAAGAGGAAGGTGCACAGTCGAAGCTCCCCGCTGGCCGTACTCAATGCACCATGCTCTACGCATGCACAACCTCATCTCCACCACAGACATCGCAAGCAAACTATCGTCGCACATGAAGTGGACGGGCAAGAAGGAGATTCCTCCATGCTCCGTATATGGGGGTGTATGGTGCAGTGCCGACCTCCTACCTCAAGTATCGGGAAGATCACAAGCCGCGAACGCTAGTGCATTCACCTCAGCATCAGTTACAAGTACAACCTTGACCTCCTCAGCAACAAAATTACACACGCGCATGACATCCCATGCAAACAACTTACCTTTGTGCTGTTTCGCGCGGATAAGCAAGCAGGCACAAATCTGGAGTGATGACGATGACGTGCAGGAGGTCATTCCATAACATCACCATGACACCATCATCTCTGGACTGCAGCCGCTGGGGCTTCATCACCACCTCCGCAAATGCGTGCGTCATCGAGCCGAAAAACCCGCGACGCGCTGACTGGACCCCATAGCCAAGAATGGCGCGCAGCTATGGATGCGGAAGACAAGGGAAACAGGTGGGTGGCGGGGGTGCGGGCGGGCGGGTGGGGGGGGCGGCGGAGGAAGCAGTGGTGCAGTGGTGGCGGCGGCGGCGGTGGCGGCGGTGGCGGTGGTGGCGGTGGTGGCGGTGGCGGTCGGAGCGGTGGCAGTGGTGGCGGCGGAGGTCGGAGTGGAGGCACTGGCTCGGGCCAGGGCTCCCAGCAGCAGCAGCGTCCCCAGACGACCCAGCAGCTTCGTGAGTGGCTTGCTCAGCGTGGGACGTCGGGGGGCAGTGGCCGCTGTTCTTATGTCATTCGCACAGGTGACCGCAAGGGACAGACGTGTGGGAGGTTCCACACCCCGTACCGCTGCTTCTCCCGCCTTGACGACGCTTGGCGTGAGGAGATGGGTGCGGATGTTGAGCGCCCCCGCTGGGCTGAGCTCATGAGGGCTGGTGTTGATGTCTTTGCTCTTGACTATGATGCTATTATTGCTGCCATGTATGCATTGACTGTTAGTGCCGAGGGAGACTGTTACTTGTGTGTGCCGCCTGACCCAGGTATAGAGCCCGCTGCCCTGGGTACTAGTGAGTCTGCTCTCTCTGGTATGGTGCCCCCTGTACTTGCTCCCTCCAGTGCTGTCCCGGCTGTTTTCGAGTCTGCTCTCTCAGGTACAGCACCCACAGAGACTGCTCTCTCAGGTACCGCACCGGCTGAGGCCTGTCACACCTTCACCCTTGACTCAGGTGCTTCCCGTTGCTTCTTTCGTGACAGTACTGAGCTCACACCGCTTCCTGCACCGGTCCCAGTCTCCTTGGCTGACCCCTCTGGGGGCCCAGTCCTTGCCCAGTCCACCACTGTCCTCCCTTGTCCGGCGGTTCCGTCTGGCTCGTTGTCGGGTTTCCACCTCCCCTCGTTCTCGACGAACCTGGTGAGCAACGCTGTCCTCCAGGATCAGTGGGTTGACACCTTTACCCCTGGAGGACAGCGTGTGGCGATCTGCACGTGCTCCAGGACCGGCCGTCACCTGGCTACGTTTACCCGTCGGCCGGGGTCGAGTCTCTACACACTGACCACTGCGTCTCCTCAGGTCGCTGCTGTCGGTCAGGTGTCTGCGTCAGGTCTGGTAGCCCACGCCTGTGAGTGTCGTTCCCTGTCGCACCAGACTCTTCTCTGGCACCACCGCCTGGGTCACCCCTCCTTGCCACGCCTTCGTGGCATGCACCGTCGCCACCTTGTGTCTGGTCTTCCCAGGTCCCTCCCTCCCCTCCCTGCCTCGCCTGCGCCGCCTTGCCTTCCTTGCGTCGAAGGGCGGCAGCGCGCCGCTCCTCACTCCTCCTCGTTCCCCCCGACAGAGGCTCCTCTGCAGACCCTCCACCTGGACGTGTGGGGCCCAGCCCGCGTTCGTGGTCAGGGCGGTGAGCGGTACTTTTTGCTGGTTGTCGACGACTACTCGCGTTACACCACGGTCTTCCCCTTGCGCACCAAGGGTGAGGTCCCTGCTGTTCTGATCCCTTGGATCCGCACAGTTCGTCTCCAGCTCCGCCGCCGTTTCCGGACGGATCTTCCTGTCCTGCGTCTGCACTCTGACAGAGGTGGTGAGTTTTCCTCCGACCTCTTGAGGACCTTCTGTCAGGCGGAGGGCATCGAGCAGACCTTCACGCTTCCGGACTCCCCACAGCAGAATGGGGTTGCTGAGCGCCGCATTGGCCTGGTCATGGAGGTCGCTCGTACCTCCTTGGTCCACGCGGCGGCTCCCCATTTTCTGTGGCCGTTTGCTGTCCGGTACGCCGCGCATCAGCTCAACCTCTGGCCCCGTGTCTCCTTGCCGGAGACCTCGCCCACACTGCGTTGGACGGGGGAGGTTGGCGATGCGTCGCGCTTCCGGGTGTGGGGTGCTCGTGCCCTTGTCCGCGATACGTCCGCGGACAAGCTCTCCTCCCGCACGCTTCCCTGTGTCTTCCTTGGCTTTGTCCCTGACGCGCGTGGCTGGCAGTTTTACCACCCCACCTCGCGCCGGGTCTTCGCCTCTCAGGATGTCACCTTTGACGAGTCGGTCCCTTTTTACCGTCTCTTCCCCTACCGCACTGCCCCCCTCCCTCCCCCGCCGCTTTTCCTTGCTCCTGGTCCCCCTCCGGTAGACCCCCTTCCCCCTCAGGGTCCTGCTCCTTCAGGTGTCTCTCAGGTAGACCCTCCTCCCGTCGCTGAGCCTGTCGAGGTCACAGGTGACTCAGGTGCTGCTGCAGGTGGTACTGCTGGGAGTGCTGAGCCTGGGGGTGCTGAGCCTGCGGGTGCTGGGCCTGGGAGTGCTGGGACCTGCGGGTACTGGAGCTGAGGGTACTGTGCCTGAGAGTTTGCCGCCTGGGGGTGCTGAGCCTGGGGGTGCTGGCGACTGGGGTGCTGAGCCTGCGTGTGCGGAGTCTGGGGGTGCTGAGCCTGCGGGTACTGAGCCTGCGGGTACTGAGCCTGGGGGTGCTGCTACTGAGCCTACGGAGCCTCGGGTTACTGCGTCTGGGGGTGCTCCGGTTCGGGGTGCTGAGCAGTCTCTCACACCGCAGCAGCTTCGTGACTGGTACGTCCGGCGCTTTCGCCGTCCTAGTGGCTCGGCTGGAGTTTGGGGTCCTGGGGGTGCTCGTACTGGGGTG